TTGCTTAAATCTTTTTCAATCAGCGCAACATTTATTTATTTTTCTTAGAAAAGCATATTTAAATGATATTAATATAATCTATCGATATAAATTGAGGATTCTTCTTCCAAATGGTCTTCTTATATACTGACATGGACTATTATCTATGCATGCACTTGCGTCGGTAATAAATGCCGTGCATGTACTAAAGGTGTTGTTAATTTCCAAGAAAATAAGAGAGCATATCTCCATGCCCTATGAAAGCTTCTTTGAAAATCTATTTGTTAGCTCTGCGCGTAAGCCTGAGCTATTTTAGCATGCGATTCCTGATTGTTTTTCTATATTTATCAATTATTTATTTTATTAAAGTCAATACCTATATGTTTACAAACTTGTTGAATTCACTGAGTCAAGAGTTCAAATGCTTTAAACTTGAGAGAAAATTTAGCATTTACTGTTGGAATCAGTTTTTTAAAATAGCTGAAAACAGTCAATCTGCTAGGAATAGAAGAATTAAACATAAAGGCACAAATAAGCCGAACTGAGACAACCCATTTATTGGAGATGTGCTCTCTTACTTAAGAGGCAATGTCCACAAGAATCGAACAAAATTCAAGAATTCGTGGCAAGGGTCAAAAAATCAAATTCGCTCTTCTTTTGAAGTTAGATAGGCCATTATTATATATGAATCCCTGGGTAGTTGGTTTTCGAAAATWTTATTTTATTTTCGAGAAAACGGCCACAGAAGAGGTTCGACCAAAGGTTCTTCTAAACATCACGATAAGCTACGGTTTTTCTTTCGGCTTTTTCATCGACCCAAATCTTATTTGGGAAAAATAAGATTATAAAGCTATTTAAAGAACGTTTCTATCGTAAGTTTTACCTTGACTTTTACAGTAATCAGACTTCTAAACGTAAAGTGGAACCTCRATCACGCAATCACCAAAGATCGCGTTTTTTGCTCATCAGTACCGACATCCTAAAACCTTTCCAATGGAGCTTAAATTTACCAAACCACATTGAACTTTCAAACAACGGCACAAACATTAATTTCCTAGTTTTCAGGGTAAATTTCATGGCAATCTTTACTACGAAAATCCTTACTCCTGCGTTGATTCGAGAGGCGTGATTTTCGCATGTATTTCAACCAAATTCAACAGGTTTCTATGTAGTCAGAATTAATTTCCCCAAATTAATCTTTAAAGTTTTGAAACGGTCTATTCTTCCTCAACTTGCAGCATAAATATTATTTCAATCGGAGAACTTGCCCATAGTTAAATCTTTTTTTCTTTTGAGGCAATTAATTAGCATATGTAAACACAGGCCTCCTATTTTCCCTCGCCAAAAATTCGTCCCTTTCCCAATAAGTTTGAATTCCAGTCCAATGAACGAAAAAGGGTGATACATTAAGAAGAAAGTTCAAAAATTGTCATAGATGATTTATTTTTTACGCTCGCTCTGTTCAAAGTTTGTCCATTTTCGCTCCTCTTGAGCGTCTCTTGCTTGGGTTTTGGTCGAACCTCTTCTATGGCCGTTTTCTCGAAAATAAAATAAAATTTTCGAAAMCCAACTACCCAGGGATTCATATATAATAATGGCCTATCTAACTTCAAAAGAAGAGCGAATTTGATTTTTTGACCCTTGCCACGAATTCTTGAATTTTGTTCGATTCTTGTGGACATTGCCTCTTAATATTCCCTTGGCTGTTACTCATTCATCTCAATGTAATTGGAGGGCAACAGGCCAGTTTGACCATTGCATGATGAAAATAGTCAAGCTGCTGTGAATAGAAGAATTAAACATATAGGCACAAATACGCGGAAATGAGACAATCAATGTATTGGAGATGTGCTTTCTTACTTCATATACTCTTGTAATTTCTCAACGTAATTGGAAGGAAACCAGCCAGTTTGACCATTGCATGTACCACTCCACCATCCCTCATCAATCACTTCGATGTTCGTGATGATGTCACCGGGGTCGAATGTGATATCGTTTTCTTCAACTGAAAATGTCAAAAATTAAGAAAAAGAATTATTTTAAAGCATAATATTGCACCAGTTTAGTAAAGCCAATACACACGGGGGAAAAAATATCTGTATAACTGTTTACCTTTCTTTTGGAGTTTTTCCCTTAATTTTGTCCTTTTTTAACTCAATAGTTTAATAAAAAAAATGGTTATGGAGGTTGTTACACCATAATTGCGAGGTTGTTTCAGTAAACATGAGTCAACTAATTTACTTTAATATCATTGAGAAAATAATTGGACGAAGAAAATTCCGAGGACTGACAAAATTGGATGAGGCCGTAGGCCGAGAGATGGAGATGGAGAGTGCTCTTGATTTAATCACAAAAAAAAATCATGCAATTTTAAAGCAAATGGAGATAGACGAGCGGACCTTAAGCTTTTATGGGGGGAAGGGGTGCAGTGCACCCTGTGTTCCCCCTAGTTACGGCCCTGCACAAGATCTCATAAAAGGAGGTTCATGGAACTACCCCTCGATCCGCTACTATATTCCTTTCGGTTGAGTCGTATATATTTGAGCCGGTCGACAACGTCCTTTGAATTGACTTTATATATAATCGCGCAAATTAAAGCGGGAATAGAATTAAGGAATCTTGCTCTGATTCTCAGACGGTTTTGACCAGAGTTAAATAAAGGCTGCACAACTGAGGGCAACTAACGTCTTACTTGCTTGGTAATCGTAGAGAGCGGTAGCAACAACACCATAGTCACCGGAGGAAACCTGAAATAGGACAGACAAACTGGTAAGCAGGAGTGCTTTTGCTTTGTTGGTGTTACCAGTTGGTTTTCACTCTTTTAAGGTGGCTCGATAGGGTTTTCTCAAACCTCAATTGCAAATTGCAACCGGACGATCTTGGAGCGTGCACGGGGTTGCCTAATGTGCACGGACGATTTGGAATATTCTTGACTGACATCCAGAAACATTGTGGTGAACTTTCAAACTAAATTTGCTACGTAGTAACTAAACAAGGGCTTATGATGGCAGAGCCATTGGGGTGTCCTTTAATAAGGTCAGGGAAGTCGGATATTGTCCACTTGTAACGATTGTAACTTTATAAATTAATAATTAATAATTAAAATTAATGATGGTAATTGGACTTCGTGTCGTGCAATTTGGACAAAAACAAAATTGCACACCACGAAGTTCAATTACCACTTATTTAATCATATCTTTTTGTAATCATCACAAGAAAACGACACAATAAAGAGAGCAGAATAATCAATTTAATGTATAAAATAAATGATTTATCAGCAAATCATTAAATATTCATAAATAACAACAGTGGAGTCACATGACGAATCGCCATGTTTGATTTGATTTAAACTTCGTGCATGCAGTTCAAATGACAGCACTTGTCAAAAGCACGAAATATTTCCTACAAAACGTTCAGAAGTTAGTATTCTTTTTCATCATCTGAGTCATAAATGACAAATCGTCGTCTCCTTGGAGGTTGTGCTGCGTTATGCTGAGTCGTAGAGGAGAAATTACAGTTGTTGTAAGTGACTAATTGCTGTGGTGAAACTTGTTGATTACTCATTCCAAAGAACTGAGACATCGCCCGCATGACTTCAAAATGATTGAAATTGCTTGAAGTAGCAATATTTCTTTCTTTGAATGGCTGTATATTGGATTGCTCGTTCACCTTCCTTGAAGAAGCTGCTGTGGAACTCGAAGTCACAGTTGAAGTAGAAATTAAGGCGCGTTTGGGGTAAAATCGCTTATGATATGGGACAGTTGTCTTCTCTGATCTTCGTCAATCTGACCATAATCATCTAGTGATGACTCTCTAGCATGACCTGTGACTTCTTTGATGATGTGTCGTGGCTGTCCTGACTTTTCCAGCTTCTGGACTAGCGTTTTACGCATACTGTGATTAGTAGTATGCTTTGCTGTGGCTAGGCATTTTCTCGCCATTGACTTCATGATACTTCCGATGGTGTTTTGACCCACTCGCATTTTACCATACTAAACAGTGGATATTTTTGGTCGGTTGATTATTTGAAAATAGAGGGGGCCGTTGTTCTTCATTCCTTCAGGTCGTTTCGACAGCCAGAGTTTGAATAGTCGTACGGGACCTCTCTCACCGTTGTTAGTGCTTAACATTATTTGGGGAGTTGTTCTTCGTGGGATGTGAAGCCCGCCACTGCGTGTTTTCGTGGGCTTCTCACTGAATTTAACACTTTCAGTGCCATCTGTGTTTTGGACAATCTGAAAGTCCTCGACGTAAGCATTTTAATGTTTTTGGTGTCCTCGAAATCCCAATTGCTCCGTTAAATTCTTGAAATTGACGGAAGTTAGTGCACGGCCATTGTGATCTCCGCGTTCTCCTCGGCCCAGAGGTTTTTTTTCGTCATCTACGGACAATGGAGATGATTTATTTGGGCGCTTGCCATTACCTTCTTCACGCAGGAAAACAGCTTTTGCATGCAGGGTTTTCTGTGAGTTGGAAAATTCGCGTGACCTTGTGACAGTGTTATTGTAGCGGCGTCTTTCGTGTTATTGTCGACCAATGGCTGCTTGCATAATTTTCAATGACTGCGGTTCATTATCATCGCCATTTACTTTCTTCACCTCTGCATAAAACTTTGTCAGCATACTGTCTAGTTCAACTGGATTCATTTTCCCAGTTTTGTTATTAAATCTTCTGGCACTGCACCAGCTTTTGAGAACTTTCATACAGGTTTTCGTGGATCTTTTAGTGTTTAGGTTGTCAGTTTTGGACTTCAATAGGCCATTTGCAGCAATTGATCACGTGTCAATTTGCCCCATAGCAACAAGCCCGTGGTGGGCAAGCTAACCACGCATTCCTTGACAACAATAAGACTTTGAGTGGCGAAGCTTAGCGATACCAAGACTATACTGACTGTTTTTAACCTTTGTTCTGTCTGGTTTGACCCGATATTCCGTATAAAGTTGAAAGAAGTGTTTTTTATCGTTGGCGATAATTTTTATCATAAAGATTGGCCGCAAAAGAGAGTTTTTTGTCTTTATTCTGGTCGCCGTGGACAGAAGACGCGTGTGCAAATGGCGGAATTCTCAGGTGTGTTTATGACTCATTCAAACCCCGATTTAACATCAAAATTTCTCTTCAATTGTCAAGATTCTTTTGAAATGAATGTAGATATACCTACAGATCCTCTTATACTAATAAAAACTCATATTTGCTAGCATTTGAGGCCTGATTTKCGTTTTAAAACTCGAGGTGTGATATCTTCGCCGACTGCTGGCGGCAACAATTTATAGACTGTTTTTGTGCTTAAAATGCTTCTCGAATTTAATTTATCTTCGAATTTAATGATTCCAGATGAATTGACTGATATATCGAGACTTCCTGAGCTTACATCTCATGTTTATGGTATAGATAGTGGACATGAAGATGCAACGAAGCTTACTACGAAGCTTACACTCTCTCGTCAACATTGTTGTGTCCCAAAGTGTACCGGCGATTCTCGCTACAACCAAGAGCTTTCCTTCCATCGATTTCCAAAAGACACATCATTAAAGGCAGAGTGGATCTCAAAGATCAGAAGAGACGAAGGGACCTCTTTTAAGGTAAAATATTTACAGTAAATAGTGGAGACGGTATACGAAATAATCTTAATAATACAGTGTTTTTGTTTTGTAGATTACAGGTAACACAAGAGTTTGCTCGAGGCACTTTATTGAAAGTGATTACCGCCCTCTAAGTGCTAAAAGAAAAAGAAACCTTAAGTCTGGTGTTGTTCCTTCTGTTTTTGAATGGAGAGGTCCCATAAAACAAAGAAGAAAAATAATACGACATGTTGATAGGTACGTGGTCTTAGTGTACCCCTGCTATAGGAAGGGGGGAACTAAATGCAAAAACAAGTTATCATGCGTTCATCGTTATAAAAACCAAAAGTAAAACTTTGTTTATTTTACAGTGGCACACAGACTGATGAAAGTGATGATGAGGAAACTTACCATCAAGCAATGTCCCCTTCAGAATCTTCTGCTGGCCCTTACACTGAAGAAGTTGATGAGCCTGGGGAACTAGAAACACTGAGGGAAGCTTACAAAGATGCTCAGAAAGAAATAGAAGAGCTTAGAGCACAAGTTGAAATTCTTAAATTATATAAGTTTGGTACTGAGAGATTTTCAAATGATAATGATGACATTAAGTTTTATACAGGTTTTCTTTCGTATCAACATTTATGTAATTTCTTTAGGTTTATTGAACCTACAGCACAACACATGAGCTATGTTTATTCTATAAGCTCCCAGCAAAGCAGGCCTTCTGCAAGAAACTTACTTTTGATTGATGAATTTTTTCTGTTTTTAGTAAGAATACGACTAGGTTTGTTTGCTCAGGATTTAGCRCACAGATTCAATATCAGCATTTCATCAGTTAGTAGAAAAGTTACAACATGGGCGAATTATTTGTATTTTGTACTGGGTACCCAACCGATATGGCCCTCAAGGGAAATGATCGATTTACATATGCCCCAGGTTTTTAAAGAGCTATATCCTAAAACTAGGGTTATACTTGATTGTACTGAGATATATGTGCAAACACCATCATCATTGCTTTTGCAATCACAGTTGTACTCCTCATATAASAGCAACACCACTTTAAAGGGCCTTGTTGGTATTTCTCCACATGGTGCTATTACTTTTGTTTCCTCACTCTATACTGGGGGGGTTTCCGATAAAGAAATCACTAGATGCAGTGGAGTGCTAGATCTATTAGAAAAAKATGATGTTGTCATGGCAGACAAARGATTTGACATCGACGATTTGGTTGAAGCAAAGGGTGCAAAAAACAACATTCCCCCATTTCTGCAAAGCCAGAGTCAGTTTTCTGTCAAAGATGTAAAAGAAACAAAAACCATTGCCAAATTAAGAATTCATGTTGAAAGAGCTATAAGGCGTATAAAAGAGTATCACATTTTTGATTCAGCTGTACCACTGAACATGTTGGGTACCGACCCACAAATATATACTGTCATTTGTTTATTAACTAATTTTCAAGGCCCACTTATTAAAAATACAAAAAGTACAGCTAGTTCTCACTCAGTTGACAATTAACTTTAATGCATAACTTTTAATAAACCAAAACATTTGTGACATTAATGGTTTTACTTAGCCTGTGAAGAAATCAAGTATTTTACAAAATTGTTACTATTATCTTAAATAATAATTGAAATAAAAACTGTCAACCTTGTCTTTACTTTGTTCAAAAAAGTCTTGATCAAATAAAATCCWTTCACAATGATATACAGAGTCATTAATGTAGCTAAAAAAGTCACACCAATCTAATCCAGTCAAAGCCATTTGACACTGAACTTGGTGATAGTACTGGTGGTTTCTTTTGAGCATAAGTTGGCCATCAAGTCCTTTTTCTATGTAAAATACTGTGCTGAAGTCTCTAGTACCCTCCTTGGGAACTTTCACCTCAAGGAGTCCAAAGGGCAAAAGGCCTGCATCCTCAGCATCAAAGTCGTATACTTTGCGATCTGGTGAAGCGCCAAGCCAAGGGCAGAAAGGGTTGATAATTAATCCAGAAGGATATATATTCACTTTTCCTTCCTTTGCAACATTTGCATATATCTCTACTGCTTTTGGCTCCATATCGATTCCACGTTGCATATCAGCTGTAACCACTCTCTTCGTAGGGTTGAGTTGTTTCACTAGATTTTCGAAACCAGATTGCCTTTTAGCCACTAGCCCAAATTTGCTTGCAGTGATTCTCTTTTC